CAGTGGGTAAATAATTATAACACGACAGAGTTCAAGGTCAATCTTTACCAGGCGGCTTCATCTGCGCACTTTAGCTTCGTTACCATATCAATAGTCCCGGTACTTTTTTTTAGCTGACCTAATATATAATCACACATAGCATGTAATATCAAACCGAAAGAAATGAAATGGATAACTAAGAAATGTTTATTTTGCAATATATTTGTTATTGCCATTATTCACGTACGTTAGGGCTCATTGTCCTCGAAATTAGTCATGCACAGGAGTGATATAATAGTGACTATAGTAGAATATATAGAAAATCAAAATCTATTTGATTTGTTGCCGGTAAATTAACAACTAAGAAATACGAAGAAATGCAGAAAAATATCTTTAAGTGAGAAATTGTTATGTAAAAGTTGTTTATCAAGGCACACGTATTTTTTTTTCTCTGGGGATTAATAATAAAAATGAAATGATAATCTTACCACGAAAAATGCGAAATGCCACTACAAAAGATACGTCTGTTTAGCAGAAAGGCGTTAGATTGACTTTTCCCTCATGATGAATAAAGATACTGTAAAACCTTCCCCTGGGTTCAATTATCATAAACACAAAATTTGATAGCTTATAGGAAAGGGTTTGTCCGTGTATTACGGACAAATAAACAATCCCCTCCTCCTCTCTCTCTCTCTCTCTATATATATATATATATATATATATATATATATATACATATATATATATATATATATATATATATATAAAATATTTTAATATATTTTCTGGTTATACGTTTTTTTTATGGATACATTTATCTGAGTAAATGCTCTGTTTTTTTAATTAAACAGTAGTAATTACATTTATCTTCGTGAAATTCCATAGAAAATATGTGTTTTCCGACAGAAACTGAATCTCTAACCTATACGGAAGCATCATTAAGCCTGACGTGCTATGACCGTTCAGACACAGAGAACTTCCGTTTAGCAAAAAGGTTTAAAAGCAGTAATTGGAGCTTTTCTAACCGGTTAAAACCCGACAGGAGATAAAACATGTTAGTCATTAGAAGTTTTTGTTTTTTCTTTATTCATATATATATATATATATGTTCTCGCTGATTTTTCATGAAGAGTAATGTTTTATTTACGAAAATTAGTAAGAAACATATCGCTAAAAGTATTGTCCATCGGTAGCCACTACTTTTCCCCCGTCTTTCTGGCAGCATTTGAGTTCCACGTCGGAAAAAAAAACACGTTTTTTGAGGCTAACCACGAGTCGACCCATTTATTTAGCATCTTCATAAGAATGCTCAGCCAGGCAATGTGCCATCGATCGGAACAAGTGACAATCGGACGGAGTAATGTCTGGGGAATACGCCGGTTGGGGTAGGACTTCCCATTTAAGCGTTTCCAAGTATGTTTTCACCCGATTTGCAACATGTGGCCTCATGTTGCAAAATCATTTTATCGTGTCTCTGCTCGTATAGTAGCCGTTTTCTTCTTCAATGCTCGACTGAAACGCATCAGTTGTAGTCGATAGTGATCTCTCGTGATGGTTTCGGTAGGTTTGAGCAGCTCATAATAAACTACACCCAGCTGATCCCATCAAAATGCAGAGCAGAAGCTTCGAACCATGGATATTCGACTTTGCTGCCGATGTTGATGCATGGCCGGGCTTACCCCACGATCTTCTACGCTTAGGGTTATCGTAGTGTATCCACTTTTCATCGCCGGACACGATACGATGCAAAAAAACCTTTCCTTTTCTGCCGTTGAAGCAGCTGTTCACACGTGACAAGACGCCGTTCGACGTCTTTCGTCTTCAACTCATACGGCACCCAATATCATTGCTTTTGAATTATTCCTAATGCTTTCAAATGTTTCGTGTGATCAACTCCTAATATTTCTGCAAGTTCAGCTTGCGCCTTACATGAGTCTACAGGAAGTAATTCTTCGCCTTCAAACTTTTCCGTTGCATCAGAGCATTCTTTATTTTCGCCATCAAAATCATTATTTTTGAAGCGTCTAAACCAATCCCTGCATGTTGTTTTCGACAGAGCATAGTCACCGTAAGTTTCAACAAGAATTCTGGGAGCTTCAGCTGCAGATTTCTTTTGAATAAAGTAGTGCAGCAAAATTTCCCGCAAATACACTTTCTTTGGCATGGAATCCGACATGTTTAATGCTATGAAAAACAAAGTTGATTACACTGAATTTCAAGTTGCTTATAGTACTTCCTTATAAATGCGTTACCATCTGAAACTACACACACGCAGTTCTGGGAACGCCATCTGTTGGAATATATATATATGTCTGTGTGTGTGTGTGTGATAAAATATAGTTCTAAAGTATGCTATATTTATGGATAAAGGAGCTCAATATCAGGGATATTGCGTATGGAAATATAAAGTGGACATTGAAGTCAAAACCCATCGGCGACAGTCTGTTTCATGCTTATACGCAACAGTCATAGCCTGGAGATTGCGTATAAACACGAAATTGATTGTAACCGTGTTGACTTCAGTGTACACTTATATATATATATATATATATATATATATATATATATATATATATATATATATATATATATATATATATATATATATATATGTGCGTGTGTATGTGTGTGCGTGATAGAGAGTGTATGTGTGTGTGTGTGTAACATGCGTACATACGTACGTATAATTATCGTATTTAATTTTATTGATTTTCTGTACTTACGGAAGGATCTAACAAATTAATCTCTGTAGACACCTACATGAACATAATCTCTCCACGCGCCAATTCTTGCCAGATCTTTTCCCAGTGAGGACATTTTCAGGAACAAAAAAGAGATTAATTAATCACCGTCACCACGACGAACGCGCTGACGACGAAAGCGCTGACGACGACTATGACGACAAATGGCATTCGTATAATCAGCCAGAAATGTTTCTACCGTAATATTTCCGTTGGCCTCTCGCCTTGTAAAAGGTTCGAATTTCACTCGGTTGAACCAATTCAAGCAAATTCAGTGGATAGCCTTGGACTAAATACGATCCAGATTTACGTGTTCGTTTTCACGTCGCATTGTTTTTCGCTTTTCTTGTTTTTTTTTTTTTATGTGTGTGGGTTGCCAGCGAAAATTTTTCTAATTAAATTAATTAAAATGAACTCAAGAAATGGAAAAGTTAAACCCCTTAGCTCCAGAATGAAGAAGAAAAAAATACTATACTTCATTGTACATTGTGAAAAATATTCAAGTTTTTTTTTCTTCTAAAATGAAATTATTTTGTTGTATTTAATTTATACAGTGTTGAATCATCCTCATTCTCTTTCTATGCTATTGCGAAGAAGGAACTTTAATTCCGTCAGCTTCTTCCCAAGAACCACTTGTTTTTCGAAGAAACTCCTGAGAAGGTGTTTCTTCGATCAATACAATCTTTACAAGTGATGTCCAGTTCATGTCGAGAACAGTTCATTAAAACCTTCTCCACATTATAACAACTTAGGAATGATGAAAGTATATATAGCATATATATATATATATATATATATATATATATATATATATAGAGAGAGAGAGAGAGAGAGAGAGAGAGAGAAGACTTCAAGCTTGTATGAAAATATAAGAACCTATTGATCTCTGCGTATTCCTATAAGAACGGAAAGGATTTCTTAACGAACTGTTTATATGAGAAAATAGTTCAATCGAGCTTATTTAATATTCTGAAATCATCTTCGAATACGTTTTCACAACATCGCCCACGTGACGACGACGTGATCATATCTAAACGGAACGCTGATCTTATATAAAAATTTCAGTTATCTGTTTGGATTAGTTGTGCTCTTATGTCCATCGTCTTTTTCATGTTGAATTTGAATATGTTCTAATGTTAATTATGTTTTGTGAATATGTCCTGATGATGTCCTAAAATAGACCGAAACGTCCGACGTTGACATTATATTAACATTAATACAGCATAATTGCATATTAAGATTTTTGTTTGTTTTTTCTGTATATTTTTCTTCATAGCATATAACGCACATTTTTGCGAACGTGATATATATGAACACTAGAGAAAATATGGTGTATATAAAAGTAATACATTTGTGTAAACTTAGTTGTTTGAAGGAAGAAAAAAAAAACAGAAATTAGTCTGATAAAAATTTATTTTTAACCAATATAAAGAAGCTGAGATATGCAGGTATAAAAAACAATTCCTATTGTCCAGTAGTTCACACTTCTCCCAGTTTTATGAACAGGAGTAGAGGTTTATACCTTGTTTGAGATTGGGTTTCAGGTATCTTCTCCTAAAGTCTTTTCATTGTCTTTCACCCACAGTAGTCTTAGTGCTATTATCACCTTAGTCGGAATGAATTGATTCTAAAAAGAAGAAATTCCTGGAGAATACAAATCAGTTGAATTTTTGTGAAGAGACAAATGCTATTGTCGAAAATATGCTTTTAATCGTAAAGTTAAAAGTTGTAAATTATAACAGACCACCATTTTCTATTCTTGTAATGACGACGCATAATATTTGAAAAAAAATATTCGCACTAATATTTTTAATAAATTAAAAAATGTGATCGAATGTTAAAAAAATGTTTCATTATTATTTTTAGTTTGATTGTACTTGAAATATGTAAAATAAAGAAATGCGTTTATAATCATTATCTTGTGTAACTTCAATAGATATTTTATTGGCCTATTAATGCCTATAGTCTCATTTTGGGGACCATCTGTTTTAATTGGTCGTAATAGAAACCTGTAATTAATATAGGATTTTTATTTAATTCTTGTAATTAATACCGGATTTTACGTTTGGTATTTATCAATTAAGTGGAAGTTATGAATTTTGTCATCGATGGAAGCTCGATTGTTCAATAATACCATCTTTTCCTCTTGGAAATTCCCAGGTTGTTTCTATGATTGAGAAGGTATCCGCTCCCTTGAGGTTGCAAATCAGCTCTGACTACGCAAATCGTGGGCTCAAATTCAGCAACCAAAATAACGAAAAGAAGGAAAATAGATAATCATCAAATAAATGAAAGAAAGAAAGAAAGAGAAAGAAAGAAAATAAAAGAAAAGAAAGAATGAAAGAAAGAAAGAGAAAGAAAGAAAAAAAAAGAAAAGAAAGAAAGAAAGAAAGAGAGAAAATAAAAGAAAAGAAAGAAAGAGAAAGAAAGAAAGAAAATAAAAGAAAGAAAGAAAGAAAGAGAAAGAAAATAAAAGAAAAGAAAAGAAAGAGAAAGAGAAAGAAAAGAAAAGAAAAGAAAAGAAAGAAAGAAAGAAAGAAAGAGAAAGAAAATAAAAGAAAGAAAGAAAGAAAATAAAAGAAAGAAAGAAAATAAAAGAAAAGAAAGAAAGAAAATAAAAGAAAGAAAGAAAGAAAATAAAATAAAAGAAAGAAAGAAATGGAATGAGGGACGATAAGAAAAATAGAAGAAGAAAGTCTAAGAAAAGAAAATAAGGACAGAGAAATAAATAGAATAAAAAAGGATAATATAATTTTTTTTTATTCATATTTATTTAAATGACAATTAATCATTTATCTTATCTCTTTTTTCTTGATTCCTGCCTGATTTTACGACCAGAAAAGAAGGAAGAACTCAAAAAAGCAAGAAAAGAAGCAAAAATTGACAAGTTGGTTTAAAGAATCTTGATAACATTACCCTGGATGCATTTAGTTCCCTGAGGTCGGATGAGTTACGTTAAGTATATAGACTTCTCACTCTAACCAGAAAACATAAAAATTATTATGGTAACAGCTTTTGAAAATCACTCATCGTAGTCATCAAAATTTGATACCTAATTCAACAGTTCAGAAAACAGATAAGAGTTTCTTAAAGTCGAGAATATTTTTGTAACAGCTCTTAATTCGCATATGTTTATTTTTTTCATTTGAAACTGAAATTCGTTCTAATTATTTTCCAGAAACTAAGAAATCACACATTCGACAAAGCTTCTGTACTATTTATTGGGCCCAGTGAAGACCTCAGCGGTGAAAATGAAATATTGCTCGCAATACAACCGCTCTCTTAAGCGATGTGATATCTTTTTTCAGCTGCTGCCTTGCGCATGCCCAGATCTCTCACATCTGCCACATTCAAAAGGCTGACAGAGCCCCTCCCAAGTGAATGAAGCCAGTGCCACCCACTTTGAAAGCCAGGAATTTAAATTAGATGACATTACCAAATATTCTCGTTAAATTATTTCTGGGAAGTTTGAGTGCACTTAGAACATCAAATAAATTCGATCCCTGTGGCAAGTAGGTGTTTGCATTTCGTTCTTCTTTCTATTCTTAATACAAGTGATATGGCTTTAAATGATACAATCATCCCCAAAATCTTTCAAGCGATGGACAACAATATAGACATCATAAAAAAGTATATAGTAAAGAAAGAACGTTAGAGTTTCTCAAACATTAACGACCCCGTTTTTCACGATATCCCACTCAACGGTAATAAAGTCATATAATATACACAGCATGTTTCAAAATTGTAGGTTAATCAATAAAACCAATGACTTTAGAATGTGCGTTAGCGCAACGGTTAACTGCACGGAATTTGGCTTCGACTGTTGTGTTCATTTTCGCACTTGGGAAAAGCATGAATTAATTTCTTCTTCCCCATTAGCTGTGGATTAAATAGCAGGGTGGATTAGGTTCTGTAGCCTTCGTTGACAACCAGTCTGGAAATACAATTCTGAATTCAAAACCAAGGAGGAAGCAACGGGAAACCACGCCACTATCTTCTCAAGGAAATCAGCAGATAATAAAGTCTAACACGTTGTGACACTGGTGGAATTAAAGGGGTTGATGTAAAAATGTGAGCTAGGCAATATGAGAAGGGAGGAAGAGAGAATATCGAGAAACCAGCATGTAGGGGGAAATCGCTAAGGTATATTCCGTGTTATTCGCTAACCGCTGGAATTAAAAACAGAATTGAGAAAAGTTGAGTTATGGCTGTCAAAAAAATAAATAAATAAATAAATAAAAATAAAAAATAAATAAAAGGAATAAAAAAAATGAAAGTTATGATTGGTAGGCCAAGTCAAAGGGCCATCTGAAATATAATTGTGGAAATATAAACAACTTGGGAAACAAGGCATAATCTGTCATCTGAAAAGTAAACTGAAATGAGAAACAACCTGTAAGGGTTGTCTGCATGATAACCCGAAGGTTGTGGGCACAGGTAGCTGGTTAAAGTGCACTAGAACAAATCAGTTCAAAGCCTGGGAAATAATATTTGTTATGGAAAATCAATGATTTAAAATCTGCCTGTTCGGTTTAAAAATCAGATTTGTCAAAAAAAAAAAAACAGTCAAAAGCTGCTCGTGGGTGGAATACCGAGAGAGGAGGAGAAAAGGGGAAAATTTACCACCGCCCACTTGGAAGTAATGGTGCGAGGTGTAAATAAGAGAAAATATGAGTTATAAAGACGAGACGATACCTGCAACTAAATCCGAAAGTTGGGGAATTACCGAAACCCCAGACCAGTCGAACCCACGCCAGTTTTGGGCCGGATTCGATATCAGCAGATCGCGTTGCCGACTTTGGCAGAGTTATAGAGAGACGATACCAGCCCCAAAGAGTGGGCGAGCTGCTACCAAAACCCCGAATGACCTGTTGCCTGGAGAATTCCCGACCCGTTCCAAGATTTAGAAGAGCAAAGTGTCACTATAGAAATTTAAGAGGGAAAGGTTGATTCTTGTATCAGGAACTATCTAAACCAATTTAAACTAACCCAACGAATCGTCCGTTTTTATTTCGCCTGCGGGAACATTTTCATTTTTTTCATGACACAGCTTCGCCGTGGCTCGAACCAGCGCTCCGAATTACCGACGACATTCGATCTTCACTGATCATGGCGTGGGCAGATTGGTGTGGATCAAAACGACCAGCGTCCAACAGCGGGTGTGGTTACATCTTGTGGTATAGGCGGCATGTGGCAGTGGCCGTACTATCTGACTGTTGCAACCAAAGTTTGACTCAGAATCGACCGGGGTGTGTGTGTTATAACAGAAAAGGAATCTGTAGAGAGCCATGATCGCCTACGCCCAGAAGGGGCGTGGCATTAAAAAATGGCTATAGAGTCATCCAATTTAGTTCAAACATGCACCTAACTTTTTAATGAGAAATATTACAAGATCTTGTTACGGTTTTTTGGGTATATAATGCCTATAACTAGTGAGCGAGTCAGAATGACTTATTTCCCTTTATAATCGACCAATGGAAGGTTGACCAATTAGAAGCCGCCTAACACTGTATTCGTCGTGTATAAAGGCGGCCATCTTGTTTCGTCTACCAGAAGGACCAAAGGTGACCAGGAGAAGGATGAACTACACTCTGCTGTGATATCCACTGCGAACCTTCACTACGCGTTCCCACTGTCTCCGAAATATTCACTGCCAACCCTTGGATGCAATACTCAAGGACGACCGTCATGGAAATGTCTAACAGATCTAAGATCTTATATGATGATTATATAAAACGTTCCAATTTATATGCAACTAACTCAAGCGAATGAATTTGAATTGATTGTAAGATGAAAATGAATGAAGATGATAAAAACACTGCAGTATTATAGCTAAGATGTTAACTACATTCAGACATTTTATGGGAACGCTACACCGTCTAATTCAAATGCGTCTGCGATGATTGCATAGAGCTTGGCTGCTACAGAAAAGAATTAACATGAACTTTGTTTATCCACAATATTCATTTGGATGTACAACAACCAATTCGAAAATAAGAATAATACAATAAAAAATCAAACAGGTAGAAAATTGTTTATATAGCACGCACGCGCACACACACATATGATGTATATATATATATATATATATATATATATATATATATATATATATATATATATATGTGTGTGTGTGTGTATTGTTGTGTATAAGAGAGAGAGGGAGAGAGAAAGAAAGAAATTGATTTGATTTACGTTGAAATACAGTCGAACTCTCTGCTTTGCCAGAGAGGAACCCGGACGAAGCTTTGCCGAAGGGCAAGGTTTCGTCCGGGAAGGTAGACAAGACCCTGAACCCGTCTAGGCGGGTTCAAAGGGTATATTTTTGGCCGAGCCCACGGGCTCGGAGAAACCCACTTTAAACACGGCCTTGTGCCACATATATTCCTCGTGGGTGGTATATTAAATACCGAGAAAGAAAGAAATAGAGTAAATTTTGGACGAAAATCTGGTAGAATGGTAAATATATACACTACAGGCAAAAAGTTTAAGGAAACCGTGCAGTTCTTGAAAAACAAAATCACCTTAATATCAGATATTTTTGTAATGTTTCTTTTAAGGAAAAGATAATATTTCAGTAATTACATCGTATTTACTTTTTTTTTCAGTCTTTCTCAAGGCTCCTCTTAATTCCAAAAAAAAGTTCAAATTTAGATTCGTCTGTTCAAAATGCATTTTGTTATGAATATTTTGTATGAGAAACATTCCATTTTGTTTTCACCATAAATCTCCCAGTATACTTTTTGTGATTAACAAAAGGACTGGAGATTTGATTCCGGTCAAGGGAATCAAGAAAAAAGAACAATATCATTAATTTTTTCAAAGACATGCTATATCATCTGGTTCACGCATAACTATAAAATAAATTAACTATTCAAGAAGGCAACAAACCAAAAGAATCTTGTAAATTATGTAAAAATTGCCGCGAGTCAAAAAAAATGAACAAAATTTTTGAAATCATGACATGGCTGCCTCAATCTCCTGATCTCTCTCTCATTGGATTAATATGGGATGAACTGGATAGGAGAGTTCGAAGAGAATACTAGTAGAGTGAGAGTTAACTTTTTCAGTGCTTGAAAAATGTTTGGAGAAGTCTGCCATCTACTTTGTTTTTAATTTTAGGAAAGAATGCCAAGAATTTGTAAAGCTGTAATTAAGGCAGATGGTGGTTTTATTAATGAAAGCAAAATATGATGCTGTTGTATGATAATTATTTTGAGTTAAACGCTTGTCTTATTTCAAAATACAGTGTAACCCGGATATAAGAGAGTTGTCGGGACCGGAGAAGAAGTCTCTTATATCCGGGTTTCTCTTATATCCGGGTTTGGTCTATTTTATACACATTAACACAGGCTCTAATTTGGGACCAGAGAAAATCTCTCTTATATCCGGGTTTCTCTTATATCCGGGTTACAATGTAAGTGCAAATACATTGTAGTTACTGAAATTTTATTTTTTAAAGAAATGCTGGTTTTCCCCAAACCTTTTGCCTGTAGTGTAAGACAGAAATGTTTCTATTTTGACGTCTCGACAATGAATCGGTATCATCAGAAAATAAATTGATGGCACCGATTATTGAGCAGAAGATTTCAATTCAAATTTTTCTAGTTTGGCAATATTTGCCTATACCAGTGTGTGTGGCGTTTTGACAAGAGCCTAGCCCACAAAATTCAGTTTAAAACATGCAGAATCGAATG